TTGCGATGTTTTCATTGTTTACAATTTATCAATGTAAATAGATTAACATTATTTCGCAAAACTTTGCAAAACTATACATTTTTTTCATGCATTCTCGTGAATAGGCGGGTCAAGGAACCTACCGTCAGGATTGTTTCATCGATATTTACTCGTCTAAATTTAACGGCGCTTTGCTTAATTCACGACACAATAAATTAAAATAAGTGCCGTAATATAGATTTTTAACGGGCGGCACCATTTGCTAAGAGCTGCGAAAAGACCGAAGATTCCATGAAATTGCTTAATTAAAGAGCTCTATTTTTTCTTCCCCCGCAGCCCGCACAAAGTCAAGAAAAAAGGATGAATTAAATCACACAATTATGATAGTTATTCTTTAAGAGATCCTTGCACATGGGTCTCCGACCAGTAACACTATTATGGCAATCCAATTGTTCTATTTTGTTCATGCCAGGAGAAATAAAAAGGGGGGGGGGGGAGTGACAGATTGACCAAATCAGCAGAGAGCAGATGATGATTGGATCGATTGAAGATTTTACAATTGAGACTGACTTTACAGGGATGGCATACTCAAAGCTGCAAAGAATAGACGCAAGTTCGTATAGGAGTTGTCTTGGTCCAGATTTTGATTGCATACTGGACCAGATCATCAAGAACAGAAATATGTAAAGTGGGAAAGTTATTGCTACGTTGAACGACTTAGCTCTCTGACTTAGCTCCACGGGATCTTCGTAGAAAAGAAAAAGGGGCATTAACCTCTCAATCGTCAAAAGTATGACATATGTATACTACGCCAACGAGTGTGAATTATGTATGACTGATAACAGCGAGACAGACAAACAAATTCAATGCAAGCAAAGTCTTTAAGAGTGAAAATTCATCTGATTTTAATAAGGTGGCTGTTTGTTCATTTTCATCAACAGCAGACAGTCATATTGTTTCCGGTCAAAACTGCAAATTTTTTGAAATTCAATATTCTAGCCACAGCTCTATATCCGAAAGCCGAGGTCTGGCCGAAAGGATCGGGAAGAGCATACCCACGTTTCACTCACCTTGGATACAAGGGTCGCACTGAGGGGTCTATGTTTAATCTCAGTGTCTTTTCAATTAAAGTTTCTACTTTTTCTCATTTCCAAAAAGCTCATTAGAAAAACATGCTTGATTCAAACACGGATAACCCAACTCGCGGATATTCGAGCCTGCATAATGAATCTTTCCAGTTCCTTACGTCTCCTTTATAATACTGAACGCAGAGATGAGCATAAGAAACCTTCGGCACGATGTGTTTACACCCGTCAACTCGAGCACGGTACCGAAGGGTGTCGGTACTATGGTGCTCATTGACTCGCAGTCTCGCGGTCTCGCGGCTGCCTAGGCGTCGCACAGTGGGTCGAGTCAATTAGAAAGGTCGGAGATGAAATTTTCGTCTAAAACTGCAAATTTCAATGTTTATTTTGTCACTTTTCAAATTTTAAGGGTTGCTATCAGAAGAAAATTTGACGAGGAAACCAGTGAAACCCTTCTCGAAACATCAATGTTTTGTATAAATGGAGTTATGAGCTTTTAAAGTTACTATATTTTGTCCGACTTTTCGAACTGGCTTGATCCACTGTGCGTCACGGCGCGCGACGGACGCGGAAGAATGAGGATTCCCGCGCAAACAGTACGAGGTTAGACGCTCAGATTCCCCGACATAACTCCCATTTACCCCACTAGGAGACGTCCATACACCCTGACCTCCGGAGCACAAACATCTCTCTCCTCACTTGAACTTCTTCAGGGCAACGCTTGCGAATGTCAGACCAATATAAAAGGATTTTCGCAAAAAAAAAAATCTCGGTCATTCGAGCTTTAAGTACAGTTAGAGCTTTTCAGTTCAAAAAACTGCGAGCCCTCCCGAGGAAATGAAAACATTGGTTATACAAACCGATAAATTCAGTGGGCGCTTTTAGATTCAGAGAACTTATTTTTCGGCCGTGCTTATCGGCAGGGCCAAATCGCGCCATTAACCAAACTGGTCATTAAGCGCCCCAAATCCTAAAATTTTAGGGCCCCATCACACCCAAAATTCCATTTGTAAGACCTCTCTAAATCCTCATTTCAGACTGCGAAGAACTCGAGAGGATCTAGGATAAAACAAATCGTCCAGGGGGGCCCGTGAGCAGGGAGCCCAGGATATCAAAGCACCACGGCCCCCCGGCCAATCCGGCCTCTTCTGCAACTGACAGACCCAAATTACTGCTTAGGGAGCCGAAAAACTCCGATTCACCTGAAACATATCCCACATGAGGCAACATTTTTCAGTTCGCCGAACAATTTTTGGCTCCGTTAAATAAAGAGCTTGCTCTCTGCGACTGAGAACTCTGTCCTTACACCCACTGAACTTGCGATAAAGGTTGGTTGGTTTAACTGATGGATTTCCCCCCCCCCCTCCCCTCTCTATACCCACTCTTTGCTTGTCGGGCGCGAACTTCGGTTCGATGAATCGAAGTAATAGTTGGACGGATTCCTGCTAAAAGTTACTATTTGCAAATACATCGATTGAAGAGGAGCTATGTACACGAAATTTGCGTTCTTTTCAGTACGGAAACGTCCTGTTCTGCGAATCAAAGATTAAGTTCACGAGCTGAAAACCCTTAGGTTCTTTTTATACAAAAAAAATAGCTCATATCAATTGAAGTTTTTTGATTATCGTTGAACTGAATCTTTGGTTCAAAAGGATTCGAAAAATGCTCATTGAACTCATTTTTCAGTGGCGATTCTTGGAAGTTGGCAACACTGCTTTTCCTCCATTTGAACGCATGTAAAAGAATCGATTATATGGGTACATTTAATGGCTTTAAATGAAGTATTAACAGTGTTGCCAATTTGCTGGAATTGCCACTGTCATTGGTTTCTATTCTGCTGTGCTAAAGAAAACGTCGTATAAACATTCCAGAGTTGCCAAATTTCCTTCGATGAAATGTTTATTATTGAGGAAATATATAAATATTTTTCCTTGACATTTTCAGGATCTTTAGTTGAAATTGGGAGCAAAATCATCTGAAAACTTGGAAGAAAAATATTCCTAAGTTTAGCAAAAAAATCGTGTTTTATCAAAGGAAATTTGGCAACGCATGAAGGTTCTTACGGCGTTTTTCCTTAGCACGGCAGTATTATCAAGGATCTATTCTCCGTGCATTACACCGCGATTTCAGAAAAAGAGCGGCTCCGGTAACGGAGCATCATTTCTCGAAGAATTTATGAATTATTAATCTTGATTCTTCGTCCGTTTCGAATTTTCCGGGGATTATTTCTCAAACAAGTTATGACTCCGGCCGCTCCGTTATTTGTTAATCACCCGCGAGCGTTGTCTTTGCCTTTTCCAATATCGTTTTCCCAAAAAGAGGTTTTTTCCGTTTAGCTCCGCGGAGACTCCGTCAATATTTGTGACGCGCGTCGCGGGAAAACCACTTGTAGTCCTCAACTTCGTCCAGATCGGTTTGCGGTCTCGCTGATGTTATGTTGAGGAGACGGTTTTGCTTGTACTATGCTCGGCACAAAAAATTGCGAGGTGATTATTATCTGACCTATTATACTTCGTTCAAACAGCGCCATCCATCAAAACTCAACGACACAAATCAACGTTTTATAAATGAAATTTCTTTTGATGAAATGTGCTGTTTCTTCTCATCCCGTGAAATCATTATAGTTATGAAAAATGATGTACGCCAAAAAAAAAAAAGTAAAATTTTACTATAGTTTGCAGCGGTAAAGTCAAATTAACTGAGGAGTCTAACCACTCAACCTATATTTTTGTCTATGGAACTTTTTTCAGCAGCTCAAAGTTTATCTCCGTCTCACGTATCCTGATGACATTTAATTTTAATAATTAACGTCTCTGGTTACCATACTCTAAATTATTCAGCAATGGTTTAATTATTATGAATTATCGTGTTTTTCTTTTTGCAATATCCTTTACTTTGATCCAATTGTAAGACACTCTCTTTCTCAACAAAAATTATTCTCTTTTTTTGACTCCTTCATTCCCTTTTCATTTTCCTATTTTCTTTATCGAGCGTTAAAGTCTCTGCAGATTGACGAAGGTCAAAAAAGATTCCCTCCGACGAGGTACTTTTAAATTGTCAAAAAGATTGAAGGCTTTTGCCATTTAGGAGGAAGCCATTTATTATCTTAGCTCAATGTTGCCTTACTTGCACAACAGGAGAGAGTCGTGCCATGAATGTCTCAAAGTTACCATTATCTGTGGCCATACATGGAATTTCTGTTGCTTACGATGAATTTTTTGGAACAAAAATTAAAAAAATGTATACCTAAAGCTCAAGAGAAACGGAACACTGTTCTAATTACAATAATATTTCGCACGAATACCACGTAAGTTATCACATAAACGATAAAAAATAGGTAACCCTTCGAAATTATATTTTTCAGTTACTCTCGTTTCTCACATCAATGTAATCCATAATAGACCTTTGTCGATAAAATTATGAAATTAACAAAATCCCTGACATGTAAAGCTTTTTCATTTGTTTTTTTTTTTTAAAAAAAAGAAAAAAGAAAAAAAACGGGAGATCAGAAATCTTCAACCACATGCCATGCATCTCTGCATTTATGCATTATTTTTTAAAATTTATCTCGGATTTTACACACTCAGGGAGCGAGTTTCATATTGACCGAATACGGATTCCCCTCATTATTCTCTTTTTAATGACAGGGCTTTCAGGTGGGTAGTTGATTGACTTTGTGAATGGAACCATCCGAAGAATTCCACTTGACGAGAGCCAGAGTGATAAATAGATACAGGGAGAGCAAGCGGGAGAGAGAAGAGAATAGTGTAAATAAAACAGAAAGATACAGAAATGCAAGGTCGACCACTGAGTTAAAAGTTGCCGGCCTGATACAAGAGTAAGACGCGACGGGGGGAGGGGGGAGCGCATCCAGGGAGGAGGGGCAGACGACTCGGAAAATTTCAGCCTGTATTAAATCGAACCGTTTATACGAGATCATCTCACTGTTCGCGAGTTTTCAGGAAAGCAGGATCAGCGCTCCGGTGTTACAGCAAAAGTCGAAGAGAAATTGACGAAGGTGAAAACGGTGCAGGAGAGGGGGTTGCAACTTGCTCCGGCTCGGAATTTTCAGTTTCATAAAATGCGGTTTTTTGCCCGACGCTGATCATTTGGTGTGTGCGGTCTCGATCGGTGCTCATTTTTTGCGCGCTCGCGTTCGAACTGTTCGCTCGCGGTCTGTTCAGTGCTTTTAGTTCGGGTTCGCGACTTTGCACGCTCGCTGCGAATCGTTGGTGAACTGACATTGTGAAAATTGCCTTTGGATTTTAATCATCATCCTACTGTTTTTCTTAACGTGAGTAATTCTTTCGGCTTATCATTCAATCCTTCTTTTCCCATTTTTGAACAATTTTTTTGAAAAGAAGTTTTTTTTTTAATCTGGTCGTTCACACTAAGAGGTATTGGCTGAACTCAAAGAAATTCAATTCGCTAAGAGTATTTTTGACAATGCCGGTCAAAAAAACAATCTCTTCACGATTTCTCTGCATTTTACGTGAGAATGAAAAGTTTTTGGAGAATCAAACTTTTTGGCAATCACTGGAAAAAAAAACCACATTGGATCTAGAGTCCAGACTCTTAAAAACATCGACAAGAAAAAATACTCTTGATTCAATCAGATTTAAGCTTAAATCAAGAACCAAGCCTCTTAATTTGAGCGGATTTCCTTTTGATTTAAGCTTAAATCTGCTTGAATCAAGAGTCCTTTTTCTTGTCAATGTTTTCAAAAGTCTGGACTCTAGATCCAATGTGCTTTTTTTCCAGTGCATACTAAGAGGTATTGGCTGAACTCAAAGAAATTCAATTCGCTAAGAGTATTTTTGACAATGCCGGTCAAAAAAACAATCCCTTCACGATTTCTCTGCAATTTACGTGTGAATGAAAAGTTTTTGGGGAATCAAACTTTTTGGCAATTACTTCAACATTAATTCAATTAAAAATGTTCAATTAGAAATGTTAAGGTGCTCAATGCCCGAAGGGTTGTGGCTCGACAGAGGGCAGTGGAGGTTAGGTGTCGTAGAGCGCCAGGGAGTGCTATAAAGTGACTTTAATGCATGTATGTGTAATAATCACAAAATATTCTGGTTATCTTCCACCCCAAGCATTAATTAAATGGAATTATAACTCCAAAACTAAGATGCACTTGAACTCTTGAGCCGTTTGAACTTCTTCTATCCGTGCATAGCTAGATTCAAAATTCGCGATTGGGCTGATTACACCAATAGTGTTACCAATGCTGAATTTGATTTTGATTTCGTTTTCTTCTCATAAGTACCGGCAGATATTTAATATTACATGCACTCGTGTCTTAAAACTGGTTCGTTCTCTCTGTAAGATGACAGTTTGAAAAATGCATTTTTTTGTTTGGTTTCAAAGCCCAAAAACTTTTGAGATAACAACTACTTTTATTTTTCAAAAACAAAAAAATATTTTTTAAGCATCTTTCTCGTCAGCAAAACTCAAACGCTCTACAACTGATGAATCATTTCTAAAAAAAAGATTAGGTCATGTACTATTTTATCAATTTTCCAAAATTAAGGATCTTTAAAGTCATCACTTATTTGTTAGGTTAGGTTAGGTGAGGTTCGATGAAGCTTCGATGAAGTTTCATTTTCTCGGAGGAAAATTATCCAAAATGTATCTTTGTTTTCTGGGAATATTTTAATTTAAAAAAATACCTCGCAGAAAATTAAATACAAATGATTTTCGGTTTCTTTTAAAATAATGAAATATGATCGAAGTTTTGCAACATCGCAATCGGAGATATGCAATGTCCAACCTCAGCCATCGATGAGTACCTCCAGGTGCAAGCAATTGGCAATGTTGGCAAATACTTTCTCTCAAACTTCCGAACTCAATATTATATTTAGATTGTTTTATGATCAAAATTAAATTAAAAAAATTACAATAAAAAAAATCAAGGTACATTGTTGCAACAACAAGAGCGTAACATTTTGATTAATCATTTAATTTAATGATTCATCCGATTACTCATACTCAGTCCGAGTCCGAGCAGGAGGTGATTGTTTACCATTTGCTGCACTCAGATTATTCTCTCGTCCCGATATAATAATATAGGAGAACCAAAAGGTTGCCAACAGTTTAATGTTGTTGGTTTTTTTTCCTATCACTTTTGCTATAAGATGCGGGCGGGTACGTTCAGAAAGACCTCGCTGTTTTTTTAAAATAATCTGTGGCGCCAATGGTGTACAATGCCAAATGTCAAGCTCTATGTACAGAAAATCATAATGAGAATAGTGATTTTTCTTCCGGCCTCTTTCCCCCCCCCCTCCACCCCGATTCTCATCCCCGCAAATTTTTTCATCGTTAGGGGATCACGTCTTAAAAATTTTTTAAGTAAGTTTTTCATGTGAAACCAGATGTATGTATGAATCTAAACGTCAGCTCAAGGAAGTTTTAAATTTATATCTATTGGGTTTTATATGCATTTTAAACTTTCATCATCTTCACTTGAATAATGCGATGATTTAATAATTGAATTATGCCAAAAAGATCTTTTAATGTGTACAACAAATACTAGTTATTTAGAGACACACCATGTGAAACATCATGTAAGCTCGTCAGCCTTACAAAAAAACCCTAGTACAATAGATGCATTTTTCCTCACTCTTTTTGAACAATTTAATGTAAAATTACTGTGATAGTATCCCTGAGCATCCAAGATATTTTTATTAAAACTGATACTGGTCGTGGAAAGCTCCATTTAGTTTCTCTCCACGCTAAATCCATTTTATAGCAAATCAAAACGTAACGCGAGGCCTTATTTGTCACGACAACATTTATTTTCAAGTTCTATTGCAAAATATAAACCTTTTTAGGAAACTTTATATTCCAAGAACGTAAATAGTATATGCTAACTAAATACTTAGAAAAAAAATGAGCAGACCTTCACAATTCACTTGATCCGCAAGAAAGGATAGAGCATAATCCAGAGGTTGTATTACATATTCGAAAAGTTCCAGCGCGCAAACTCATACAGAATGATTTAATCGGTTGTCAGGTTAAAATAATTGTTTAAATAATTGTTCTCTCGGATCATACTCCTCGGGCTTTTCTTTTCCGTGAGCATTGGCGGATCCAGCAAATTGGCAACATTGTTTTTCTCCATTTAAACCTATAGAAATATATCGATTCTTTGAGGGGGCAGGTGCTCCGACAAGAATCGATTATTTAACATAGGTTTAAACGGAAGGAATCCGGTGCTCCCAAATTGCTGGATCCGCCTCTGTTCGTGAGTCAACTGAATGAGCCACGAGAACGAAGACAATTAATTGAAGTATTTCTCAACAGCGGCAACAGCGGCGGCATAATATTTATCTTGCTAGATTGGCAAAGCCTTTGGGTGATGAAAACCTATGTTCTTTTTTCAGAATTATCCTAACACGTGCTGTTAAAATAAGGTATTAAAGTCTACAAATTTTATGAACAGGTCATTTTTTCTTTAAAACTCTAAAAATAAACTTGAAAAAATGGAAAAATTTTATTAACATTAAGTGAAGAGACCAGATTATATTGAATCTTGTCCTATGTCGTTATCGGTGTGTTTAACCATTACCGATGCTGATTAAAAATATAAACTGAACAACAAAACATAACTGATCAAAATTAATCTGATTCACTTCACTCGACCTTAAAAGTTTGGAAAAGATCAATTATCCATCGTGGCATTTCAAGTTTAGGAAAAGTAAAAAGATTCCTCACTATGTTTCATTCGTGTAAAAATATGTCTAAATCAAAATAAATAAAAAGCTATAGACAATCTATTTAACAGAAAATGAATTCTAGACATGAGATAAAACAGCTACGTCCATGCAATGCTTACTTGTGTTAGACGACCAAGAAAAGAGAATGAACCTTGGTAGTTACTAATAAGCAGCGTGCTTCTTCATATCCTGGCGTTAAAGTCTCTTCTGCCGTGTTTTGATTCTGAGGTGTGATGAATATGTCCTAATTTGTAGAAAAAACTGTAGAGTGGGAAGCTTTGAGCGTGATTCCGTCGTTTTGCAATAACTTTTTGCGGCTTCTAATCAAACAAGATAACATTGGCAAAATCGCGTTAGTTCATAGGGCGTAAAATATTTCGAAATAAAAACGATGATTTGGAATTTCATATTAATTGCAAAGATTTAATTAGATTAATCTGTGATAAGGATACTCGCTTAGAAGAATTTTTTACGCAAGCAGTCTTACCAAATCCTCTTTTTTGTGACAAGCGCTCAACTCAAATAAAAGTAATCATAAAATTCAGCGAATAGAATAACGGCTGGACACAAGAACGTTAACATAACCATTTAAAGGTAATTAAAACGATCGATCCCCCCCCCCCCCTACATTAAAGTACAAGAGTTCATTGAACCACGTTAGGCAGAAAAGAACCAAGCCACATCAGCTAATGTCAAATTTAATCGGGCGATTTAATTTTTTACATGAAAACGATTGTGCGGGTTTTTGTGAAAATTTCAGTGGATTTTCTGCATAATGCGAACCGAATTCCGTAAGATTTTCAAACAAATTCGCACAAACGTTCTCTTGTAAAAAACTAAATCGCCCAGTTAAATTTGGCAATAACTAATGCGGCTTGGTTCCTTTATGCTAAACGCACTGGGGGAAAAAAATACATTGGATCTAGAGTCCAGACTCTTAATGACATCGACAAGAAAAAGTACTTCTGATTCAATCAGAGTCTAGCTTGAATCAAAATCCGATTGAATCAAGAGTATTTTTCTTTTCAATGTTTTCAAAAGTCTGGACTCTAGATCCAATGTGTTTTTTTCCAGTGTGTGGTCCATATAGGTTCATAATGAAGTGACCATCAGCATATCGACATGATAAAAAGTAAACCCAATTGAACTCTTAACGAGCTAGGTCCATAAACTCAGGTGTGTAAATAGAACTCGAAGAACAAGCTTTTGGGTGATCGAAAGTCACTGAGAATCGGCTGCTCTAAATGTCATTCTGAGACACATGTTTTACCGGATCTATGTTCAGTATATGCAGAACTCGTCGCAATCCAATTAGAATTGATTTGAATAAAAATGTGCGTGGCCGGATATTTAAAATCTTCAACATTTCCAGTCTTGTTTGCCGCACCGGTTTTCCATTTTTTCCATTTTATCCCGTGTCGAAGGAAAATGCAATTTCAAGGAGCACTAGTTGTCAAAGGTTTAGGCCCCTTGTCAATCCGAGTCGTTGCACTCAAGTAGTGGGGTGGAGTAAAAAATATCCTGTTTTGAAAAACAACAGAAAAACTTAATAAGATCTGCTAAGGTGTACATT